GAGCCGGCTCCTACTTGCTCCAGCTCTGAGGCCACGGCCTGCTGAAAGCAGGTATCTGGGGTTTGTTTAGCTTCTATAATTGAAACTTTGTTGCTTTCGGAGCTCAGAGCCGGGGCTGCGGTGGGCAGGGAACTTTGGCTTCCTCCATCACTGGAGCAAGCAAGCCTCCAGCTCGCTTCAGCTTTGTGGCTGCCGGCCGCCATCTTGGTTGATGGCTAATTTGCATATCACCCTGATTAGCCAATGGAAAGCGTAGTGAAGGTACGGTCACTTACCCTTTTTGTCTTTTATTAGATAGGATATCACTATGTGTTTTGTTATGTCTCAATTTCTCTACCAGTGTTTTTAATTAATTAATGTATTTATTCATTTATTTGTTGAAAATTTGTATTGTTTCTTTTTTATTTTATTGATTTTTAGAGAGAGAGAGGAAGGGAGTGAGAAACATCCATGTGAGAACAAAACAATGATCAGCTGCCTCCTGCGGATCCAGCCAGCAACCCTGGCATGTGCCCTAACCAGGAATCAAACTGGCAACCTTTCATTCAGTGCATGGAAAAATGCCCAACCAACTGAGCCAAAGCAGCCCCTATAAGAGTGGCGCTCCCCCTATGAGAGTGAACTGAACACAAGGGGGCTATTTTTATAATACCTGAATTAGAAACTTTTTATTACTAATTTATGAAAAAATACTATATACATTGAACCAAAACTCAGGTTCTTTTTATAAAAAATGTAAACTTGCAAATGGTAAGAATTCCTTCTTTTTTATAGCAGCGTAGTATTCCATGGTGTAGATGTACTATTTTACCTTTTGCAACAGCATGGATGGAACTGGAGAGCATTATGCTAAGTGAAATAATCCAGCCAGTGAAAGAAAAATACCATATGATCTCACTCATTTATGGATACTAAAGAACATTATAACCTGATGAACAAAAAGATAGCTACAGAGGCAGAGAAGCATCAAACAGACTGTCAAACTACAGCAGAAAGGCTGGGGAAGGTTGGGGGAGGAGGTAAGAGATCAACCGAAGGACTTGTAAGCATGCATATAAGCACAACCAGTGGATGCAAGACACTGCGGGGGGAGCAGGGGGAGGACATGTGCCGGGGGGTAGGGGAGGCCGGGAGAAGGTCAATGTGGAAGAAAAGGAGACATATGTACTACTATCTGTAATACTTTAAACAATTCAATTAAATTAAATTTAAAAATGTAAACTTGTTACTTTTCCTTTTCAATAAAACCCCTTTAACTGTGGCTTCATTTTTAAACATTCCTATTTTAAAACCAAACTTATACCTAATCCTAAATGCAACTCTAACCTTAGCCATAATTTAAACCTAACCCTGATACTATCCTCAACCTTAAACCTAACTTTTACTCTAACACTAACTTTAAATCTAACCTCAACCCAAATTTAAGCCTAATTCTTACTCTAACCTAATCCTAATGTCATCGTTTTCTTAACCTTTAAAATATTTTAATTATTTTTAAATTACAGTTTATATTAAATCTTATTTTGTATTATATTCAGGTATACAGCATAGTGGCTACACTATCGTATACTTTACAAACTACCCCCCCCTCCATTTTCAGTACCACGTGGCACAATGCATAGCTATTACAATATTACTGACTATATTTCATATGCTACATTTTATATCCCCATGACTATTTTGTAACTAACAATTTTTACTTCTCAGTCCCTTCACCTTTTCACCAAGTCCCCCAAACCCCTCCCTGCTGGCAACCATCAGTCTGTTCTCTGTATCTATGAGTCTGTTTCTGTTTTGATGTTTAT